TGCAGTCCTTCCCTTTCCGCGTCCCGAAAAACCAAAGGGGCTTCGCAGTTTCCTTGGCCTCACCTCCTATTTTCGCCGGTTTATCCAGAACTTCGCTTCTATTGCTGCTCCATTACACCAACTACTCGCTTCGAACGTCCCCTTTCTGTGATCTCAAGAATGTCAAACGGCATTCGAGCTGTTGAAGCGGGCACTCACGCCTGAACCTCTGCTCTGCCACTTTGACGAAGCCGCACTGACTATCGTTCATACCGACGCTAGCGGCCTTGGTATAGGAGCCGTTCTTCTACAACGCGACAAGTTTTCCCTAGAGAAAGTTGTTTCATATGCCAGTCGCGTACTCACCCCTGTTGAAAAGAACTACACCATAAATGAGCAAGAGTGTTTGGCTGTAGTTTGGTCGGTCCAGAAGTTCCGTCCCTCTCTCCACGGCCGTCACTTCACAATCGTTACGGACCACCATGCCTTATTCTGGCTTTCTACACTGAAGAACTTGTCCGGACGCTTGGGTCGGTGGATACTACGTTTGCAGGAGTACGACTTTGACATAACTTACAAGTCAGGCAGAAAACATCAAGACGCCGATGCTTTATCTCGTTGCCCGCTTCCAACTACCCATATGAGCGTTGGTGAGAACCCAACCACCACATCTACCAAAGTTCATACGCTCGCATCAATAACGCAACCCTTTTCGGACGACGAGCCAACATTGATCTCTCGCCAGTGGTCCGATTCATACTGCAGACGCATGATGGACCACCTTTCGGGAGTTTCTCATCCACCAAACGCCCGACTCCATCGTCAACTCCTGCACTTTAAGGTTGACAATGGGGTTCTCTACCGCCACGTCTACCACCGTGACGGTCAGCGCTGGGTTCTTGTACTGCCACGCTCTTTTCAACCTCAGGTGCTCGAAGCCTTCCACGACGACTTGAATGCTGGTCATCTTGGTTTTAAAAAACTCTCGACCGCATTTGTTGTCGTTATTACTGGCCTGGCCTTTCTTCTAGTGTAGCGCGGTACATTGGTTCCTGCTACCCATGCCACCGTCATAAACTCCCCACGTCTGCACCTGCTGGACCTCTACAGCCACTTCCGTGCCCTTCAATGCCTTTCGAGGTTGTAGGTGTTGACCTTTACGGGCCTCTCCCCATCACATCTGCTGGCAAACGTTGGATAGTGACCGCCGCTGACCACCTGACACGCTACGCTGAGACTTCCTGTGTTATTACAGGCTCAGCTGTGGAAGTTGCAGACTTCACGCCATAATCCTGCGTCATGGGGCTCCTCGTGTACTGCTTAGTGATCGTGGCAAAGTGTTCCTGTCACAAATGGTAAATGAAGTACTGCGCGCTTCTGGAACTACTCACAAGACAGCTTCAAGCTACCACCCTCAGACAAATGGTCTCACAGAAAGATTTCACCGAACCCTTGCAGACTTAATAGCCATTTACGTCCAACTCGACCACAAAAACTGGGATACTCTTTTACCATTCCTGACATTCGCTTACAACACCCCCGTTCAGCGAACAACTTGCTACTCAACGTTTTACTTCGTCTACAGACGCGCCCCGACTACCTTTCTCGACGTCTCCTTCTTTAGCAGCCATGGGAATTCATGTCAGTCTTCTAGCGTAGAATACATTTCCCGCCTGGCCCAGTCTCGCCATCAGGCTCGCATCAATACTGAAGCGAGACAGCATGAGCGGAAGATCATCTATGACGACTCCCACTACGTTGTGTCTTTCCAACCTGTTGACTAGGTGCTGCTTTTGACACCTATTCACGCTCCTGGTCTCTCTGACAAATTCCAACCACCCTTCATCGGGCCATACATTGTTTTAGAACAGACTTCGCCGGTTAATTATCGTGTGACACCACTCGTCACCCCAACAGACCGCCGCTACCGCAGCACAGAGATTGTCCACGTTTGTCGCATGAAACCTTTCACGCGACGTTCCCCGTCACTTTGACTTACGGCGGCCAGGATGTCCGCTTCCAAGTGGGGGGAGTTAGTGTGGGCATTTGTTACTTACATCGTCCTCAACCCTGCATGATCACAATCACCATCATCCGCTTGTCTCTTTGTCCTCATTGCCACTCTGGGTCATCATCATCGTCATCATCTGTGTACTGGCTCTGCCCGTTCGGTTTGCGAGGACTTTACTCAATTAAACGCTGTCGCAACCAAGACTACCAAGACTTCATAATATATATATATATATATATATATATATATATATATATATATATATATATATATATATATATATAACGTATGAAGTGATGGTTGGCAGAGGCTGAGGAAGAAGAAGTGCAGAACGGAATAAACATAGCGTATCAGCCAGGCCACGTCACCCATTCATCGTAGCGTCACACGAGTCGACAGCATGAAGACCTGGCGGCCACTTCATCAACCGGCCACCATCTTCGAACGTCTCAGCCAGACGCAGTGACCGAACGTGGACCACAAAAGTACATCCCAACTCTACACCAAGACCAGCATAATGACAGCACCATCAGACGACCTTGACATCCCCAAGTACACCGGATCAGCGGACGACGAACCCGTACAGGACTGGTTTAACCTATTCAAGCTCCACGCTACCGCTGCATCTTGGTCGGAACGGGAGATGATCATCAACTTCACTGACTACATCTCAGGTGAGGCATTCAAGTTTTACCTCACCCACATATTCGAGAACGACGAGTCATGGCGAAAAATCTAAGAAGAGATGATTACCCGTTTTAACGACTATGACCAAGACCTGCTCAATGCCAACCATCTAAAGACAACCGCACACTATCGTCAATTCCTTACGCAGTCCTCAACAATTCGAAAGCCCAGCGCGAATCGACAACTGCATCAAGACGAAGTGGCACATGAGTTTACTTACAGAAGGCGATGCGTATATTGGGAAAAACCTAACCGTCAAGCGTGCCTCCCTTCTGCGCGAAAGTCAGCATGTCCGAAGTCATCGCTTCAGCATATGACCCGAGACGTTGCTCAACCACCTGATGCCCTTCACTCTTCGTCTCGCATACGTGGTCCACCACCTGGGTTTTCGTTGCGCGGTTTTTCAAGCGCTCCTATCGCTCACCATTCGCCTCATAAGGACGCTGCGACCTCGGTAGATGACCTAACGCTTCACGAAAATACGCTGTCAAGCCATGCTCTTTCCGGACATGTTCATTCATCACCGTGCGGTGCACACACACTGGACAGTCGAAGCAAAGCAGAAGGCTCAGACGCATCGAACGTCGCAAGCTACCAGGCGCAAGAACCACTCGCAGTGAACTGCGAAGAAGCCTCTGAAGAGCTTCGTGTCGTTTCTGCGGCACCACAGACTTGCCAAAATCTGCAGTTAAAACCTAGTAATGCCACGTCACCTGTGGTATCCCCATACAGCGCTTACAGCTCCAAGAACCAAAAAAATGCAGAAGTAATACATACACCAAACCTCACACGCAGCTGTCTGTCCGAAGCGTCCATACTGGAACACCTTACCGAAGTCTTTGAAGAGCATAATAATGGCACATTACCAACTATGCCCGATAAGCAAGACACCAGCTCACCATGCATCAGCTGTCTACAGGACGTGTCAAACCTCGAAGGAAATGAATGCCCGATTCCAGAAGGGGCGCCACTACAGCCATCTCCTGAGCAGCACCAGGAAAGCAAGCAAAGCCAAGTACGCAAACTCAGGAGACAACGAAATAGACTGCAACGAGGGCATAAAAAACGCAAAATTCATTGGAAGCGCATTCACCAGTTGAAGAACATCGAAAAATAGGATCTCCAAACCAACAAGACGTCAGACACTTTCGGACAAAGAAAAGTCGCCAGAAACGCTCCCAGCGCCTGCTATTCCGCCAACTGCAACACGTCAGAAAGCGCCGAGAAAGACGCGGAAGCACTGCTTGCAAACCGCAAGCACTCAGACACTCGATCACAGTCTGTCGAGAAGCACGCAAGCAAGAAGCATCGGGATTGCACCATTCACGGCGAAAAATACAACCCCGACGACATCTGAACTTCAAATGCTACAGGCACTCCCAACCTTGTCCGTTCCTCACAAAAACTCAACCGATGTCATTACCAGTTCAGATTTCCAGGGTGTGGTTATGCCATCCAAGACGCAACAGTGAAGCTCGTCCACCAGAGTCGTCATAGAAATCACCGGACTGCTCCATCAGCCTTGAAGATTAAGTGAGATTGTGACACTCCGTCGGGACGTGAAACTGTGAACTTGGCCATTGTTTTGTTTATTCTCTTCTTCAATTTGTTGTAGTTTGTAACCGGTGCCATCTTTCGGGGGGAGGGGGAATCGTGTAACGTATGAAGTGATGATTGGTAGAGGCTGAGGAAGAAGAAGTGCAGAACGGAATAAACATAGCGTATCAGCCAGGCCACGTCACCCATTCATCGTAGCGTTATATATATATATATATATATATATATATATATATATATATATATATACATATATATATATATATGGTCTTTGTTACATATCCGTTCCTGCTAAGGCGAGAAGAGGAGTGGAGTGGTAGCAGATAGCAGATTTCTGTGGGGGGCGCATGCCCCCCCCCCCCCCCCTGATTTTCAACCTTCAGGAGCGGTGGCCCCCTCTGCCCCCTTCCCGGTTCCGGAGCCCCTGCGTGGAACAATCGAAGAGCTGGGAACACCCGCTACGAAACAAGTACAATGCTTCCGAGAACTCGCCTACTCTGTAACTCAAATTATATACGGTCCACTATACACTTGCGACAAACACTGTAATTGAAACCGGATATCATGTGCCACGTGACACAGGTGCACAAAACAAAAATACGCCTTCGTTGTGAAGACCTTGATATAAACTTGGTCAACTGCATGAGCAATGTAGAGCGAGCGAAACGACAATGACCGCAATAGCTCACTACAGCGTTGAGAATAAGAATGTCCACTATTGTGTGTGTGTGTGCTTGTTTTATTTTTTTATTAAGAGACAAGGAAATCACTGCGCCTCCATCAGCAGTGACTGGATTGCCATGAGCACGGTCTTGATGCTGTGCGTGGGGCTCCAGGTGCAGTTGTCTGTGGTGCCTAGAATGTCTAGACACACTTTACCGCTTGCGCAGAGTTTGGGTCCGAGGCTTACACCATGATTGTTCAGGAGGCGAACACGTGGCGACCTCGTCGGAAAGTCCGGAGGGCACTGTAGCAGAAAGAGAAACAAGCGGCCCTCGTACGTCGTGCCCGAGGGGCCCATCATAGCCACGTAGAACCGGCTGATGTCTTTAGGCTCGATGTGCACAAGCGGGAGTGGATTTTTGAAGAGGTCCAGCATGTCGTCCGTGATGCGCAATAGGCACTGCGGTGACGCCCCTTCGTGCTCGAAGCGGAGCGGGTCCCAGTCCTCCTGAACGATTTCGGACACATTGTATGTGTTCGTGCTGCTGGCTGTGGTCTGCGGCAAGTTTGGATCTTCTTCGACTGGTGCACCATCGGTCTCATCGTCGGTGTTGCTGCCGTCCTCAGCGTTATCTATCCAGGGTGCGATCTCTTCAATCAGGGGGTCCTCAATGTCGTCATCAAGGAACTCGTCGTGGAGGTATTCATCGAAGAAGTCGGTGGCGGGAATGTCCAGCTTCATATCATAACAGGTGGCACGTTTGGGAACTCAGGGGATATTTTTTAAGTAGCGTTTCCACTCACGGCTCACACGTCTTGATGGAGACGGATGAGAAGAGGGGGAGAAAAACGAGCGTTGATACTTGGAGAGGCTCCGATACCTGTGTTGAAAAACGAGAGACGAGACGGTGGTGGTGAGGCCGTGCTGTGGTCGCAGGGTTTAGTTGGGCGAGGACACAGCGAAGCGGTATCGCCTACAGCGCCCAGCCAGGTCCCGAAGATAGGCCGTTCCGAATTTCTCGAGGCTCGCGCACTACATGCCATGCGGCTCGCTTCTTTTTCGGCGCGGCCAGCTGACCAAAACTAGCGTGGCGCTACATGGGCTCTCCGCGTAGCGCTATTTCAAAAGTATATGCCAAATAAAAACAAAATGAGAGTAAGACTATGTACATGGATGGCAAACCTAAATGTCGGAAAAGTACGAGTAGTGATCTTAAAAAAAAAAAGACCAGGCCTCTGCGGAAGGCGAAGCACAGTCACAGCGAAAGCTAGAAGAGCGGCCTTTCAGAGGCCTTTTTAAACACTCTTTGGGTAACTGATGCAAGCACACTTGCTTGATGCCCACTACGGCATTAGTAATAAAATTTTAGGACAGTAGGCTGGCAATCGCTGTCATAATGTTTGTCATTTTTTCTGAGATGCGTGGTATCCGCTGAACACTTGCAAAGAATTTTGTGCCAATTGTTCATGCAGTGGCTGACGACGATGACGAATTATGCCTGAAGCGGGCATGCACCACATTTAATAGGCGAACAAGAACAAGCTTTTGTAAAGGGTTTGAGCATTGGACGATTAGTTCGTTACGCTATTCGCGTTGTGCGATGACTGCTTGTTCTTTCGCTGATTTAAAACGCTTTAAGTCGTATTAACGCGATGGCTTTCCCGACATTTAGCCTGTCAAGGCAAGTTTGCCAACATGTTCCAGGACCGGCGTGGTTCAGTGGTAGAATACTGGGCTATCACCAAGCACATTCAAGTTTGAGCCCCACTGTGTCGTTGTTGCTAGGTTATTTTTTTTCTAATTTCGCATGACGTGTTTTAAAAACGGGCGGCGGCAGACAACTATGGCACTGCGCGAAACCCCAGTTGTGATCTCATAACAGTTTTTGCTGTAAAAAGGGTCCGTGTCGTAGCTCTAGTGGGTGGCACTGTGAGCAGCGGAGTGGACAGGGGTTCCGAGGGATCGACACTGCTGGTGCAATGGTGGTCGTCCGTTTTAGTGGGCGACGAAAGTCGCGTGCCATCGACGCAGCGTTGCTTTCGGCAATGACCTGATGCCAAATGGCGCGTTGTTTGACATCGATGCTGCAGGCTTGCAGACACAGTCCTACGTTTGCTGCAATGTAGCGTGGTAATTTTGTTGGGCTGAACAGCAAATGGCGGGGCAGTGTTGGAAATGTGGTGTTGATTTCATCGGCGCAATGTCGATCGCTGATGTGTGGAGCACCAGTACCAGTATGCCTTTTGCATTTGACGACGTGTCAGGGGGTGCTTTCGCTGTACTTGCGCCCACTTTCAGTGGATGCTTGCACTCTGTGGTACCTATAGAAAGGGTGGGTAGAAAGCTGCCCATGCGTTTGACTCTTGGTACGATGACGTCGCCGTATTTGAGGCACAGCCGGGAAATATGCGAAGTCATCATCGGGTGTCGGCGTAATTAGGAGCTGTGGCGCTTCTATTTCCGTGACTTCACCACTGGCATGTCCAGTGCTCCTTGAGGAGGATGTCGCGCAGAGGAGGCACAGACTCCGCAGTAGCATGCGACGTTAAACTAGTGGCCATGGAATTCTTACCTAGAAAGCCTGGTGACGAGTAGCCCGGGCGCAGGGCAGCATGCTGATTGACTTCTTGCGTAGCTGTCGTAGCATACGCAGGGAGTTTCAATCCTGGCTGGCCCGGTGCGTTTCACGAGGTCGTCAGCGTTCTAGTAGGAGGCTCGGCAGATGTGCCCCAAAAGTCCCCACGCGGATCAGCTGTCTCATCTGTCATCGGCATTCGGGAGTCGGCGCAGCAGGACCGGATTTAGCAAGGAATCCGACGGTGTGCGATGCCATAACCGGCGTCAAATCTGTCTCGAGGGGAAGTGGAAGTGGCCCTGGTGACACAAAGAACACCTAAGAGACAGAAAGCAGAGACACCGGGCTAGCGGGCCTTTCTGTTGACGGGCCGCTAAGCGGCATGGATATCTCCGTCACCTGTGCAGCCGGGGATTGTTGACCGGGCAATAGCCTGGACTGGCCATTATGCGGGAGTTGTACATGATGATGAGTCAGGCATCGCGGTGTCGCTTTCCGGGAGGCGATGTTTGATGCCGTAATCCTGAAGCCCGGCGTCGCGCAGATGGTGGTAAGGGGGAGGGCTCCATGGAATGTACGTGAGGTGGTGGATGAGGTCTCGCGGTAGATAGTATATGTTAGGTTAGGTTAGGTTAGGTTAGGTTAGGTAAGGTTAGGTTAGGCAACTCAGACATGAATTCTTGGAGCCAGATGCTCTTGAGCTCCAAGGCTGCCTCGAACTCTAGGAACCATGACTCCATGAAGGAGGTCCTGAACGGTGGTAGAGGCGGGTCAAAATGCAGCTTCAAGGCTTGAGCTGATGGCAACTTGGTTGCGAAGATCAGAGGCAGCGGTGCAGCGCCGGTCGCTTGTCCACTGGTCCGTGTTCTCTAAATGTTGAGGAACCAGAGACGATACGGCAGTGATGAGGCAGTGCCGTAGTCGCAGCTTTGATTTGGGCGAAGACATAGCGTCCAGCCAGGTCCCGAAGTTAGGCCAGTGTGAATTCCTCGTGGCTTGCGCACCACTTGTCATGTGGCTCGCTGCTTTTTCTGCTCGGCCAGCTGGCCAAAACAAGCGTGGAACTACATCTACAACCCGAGAGAAAAACAGAGATGAAGAAATAGGAAAATGATACAGGGCAAACAGGAGCAAACTTGCAAATAAAGAGAAAGCTATGGGGGATGGAGCTTGCTCGTGTGTACCCCTACGCATAAAAAGGCAGGAAGAGTGAAGAGTGGGAGAGGGGGTTAGCTAACTTCTTGTTAAAGCACGGACGAAATGCAGATTCTCATTGCCAAGATTTCGCTGTTACTCGGAAAAGAGGGAACCATTGTCTTGGCAATACTGGTTTTGGGAATCCCCTTCCTTCTCCAGTAACAGGTATGATGGGGTTGTAAATCGTGATATGCACTGAAAGCCACAGCAAAGCGGTCAGTGCATAGTCTGAAGAGAACATTTAACACAATAGGGCTACTTCCCAGTGACACGCGAATATCACTGACTCAGTTACTCTTCCATAAGAAGAACGAGGAACCGCTAGAGACGCTAATCTGAAAAAAAAATAGGGGAAACTAGAGTGGCAGCTGCTAAAGGTAAGTGGCGTCAACCAGGCGAGACTAACAACTCAGACTAAGTTATCTCTTATTGTGCTGGCTTCACCCTTTCACAACTTTGTTGCTTTTCTGGAAGTATAGAATGCGTATTCTTATAGTCCGCTTTTTGTTTAAATGTTCATGCATAATAACGCTGTGTGTTTGCATGCACATCTTTTTTTTTGGAACATTTCCTGCAGCGTCACCTTAGGCATTATTGCTAGGGGCATGGTCCCTCATGGATTGAATCCGCAGTCTTGCGGGCAACTAAATCAGCTGGTAACATATTCCATTCGACAATGGCTTGCGGAAAAAAAGATTGCTCAAACAGATTTGTTCAGTGGTTGTATGGCCGTAGTTTAAATTTGTAATCATGACGAGAAGATTGATAATGTGCTGGTTTTAAATATTCTGAATGATTAATGTCTGTTTTCATGTTATAAATTGAATAAAATAGTTTTTGAACCTTTCATTACGTCATAGATTTTGTAAGTATTGCCAATCAAGTACTCTTTTCATACATTGGGAGCTTTCAGTTCGGCCATATTTTTCCACAACAAATCTTGCTGCTATCGACTGAAGGCGCTGTAATGCATGAATGTGTACTTTGTGAAACGGATCCCACATAGGACAGGCGTATTTCAGTATTGGTCTGACGTAGGCGTAATATGCGGCCTGTTTAACCTCCTTGGTTACATGTTTAGGATTTCTTTGTAAAAAGCCTAGGGATTTTACAGCTCTGCTGAAAACACTGGCAATGTGTTCAGGCCATCCCCCATCCTCAGAAATCGTGGCACCTAAGAACTTGTATTTGTGTTCTGTCCTAATACCTTCTTTGTTTAAGATGTACTGATTGGTAAACCTATTGAACCTTTTGGTGAACTTGACGGGAACGCATTTATTAGTATTTAATACCATGTCATTATTTTACACCATACCTCCACGTGATCCCGGTCATCCTAAAGCTGGGTGGAATCCGTTTGGTTGGTCAGTTCAGTGTACAACACACAGTCGTCAGCAAACATTCTAATACGACACTAACTTGTATCCAAAATGTCATTTTAAACACAAGAAAGAAAAGTGGGCCGAGTACGGAGGCGTGAGGTACCCGTGATGTCACCGCAAGCAAACATGAACACGATCCACTTAGAACAACCTTCTATTTTCTTGAAGTTAGAAAGTCCGCAATTCATCGGCAAATGGTTTGATGAATAATCAAGTTGGGCAATTTTTGAACCAGAATCGAGTGTGATAACGTATCGAAGGCCTTTCTGAAGTCCAAAAGTAAACAATTAATCTGTTCTCGAATATATAAAACTGATGCTATATCACGATAGGATCCAATTGATTGGTTTGTACTAGTGCACAGGCTCTATGAGAAAAAAAAAATTGGTTATTGTCAAAAGAGTTCGAACCTAGGAGACGTCGGGTGCTTTGAAAACACGTACAACAACATTAAACCGTGAATCCCTTCGCCATGTTCGAAGTAATGATTGCACAATAGAATTCAATAAAAAAACTGTTTACCCTGTGTGTCTTTTTGTGATTTATATCGTATAATTCTCCCTGGCTAGACCACTAAATGGATATAA